TCTTTCAAAATCATCTTTGTTTATTTCTTCCTTTCTTTTTTTTTTTTTTTTTTTTTTTTTTGGTGGGGGCTTGGTGTGGTGCTGGTGCTAGATGGCCTGAAATTGGCTAGGCAAGTGCCAAAGTCATTTTCCAGTTGATTTTGTCATTCTTTTTGAGAAGAGTTCACATTGATTCACATTTCTCTTCTCCCTCTCCCCTCCTGTTTCTTAACACACATGCCTGAGGGAAAAACATCACTCAAGTACAGGAGTTCTAATTGTCAGTCTTTATATCCAAAACTCGTGTTTTTTTTTTAAGTTAAACATCACTTGATCCAACTTAATGGCTATATAAATAGTAACCCAGTTCCAGTAAAGGTCCCCCAAAGAGACCTCATGAAAAAACATAATCGTTCTTCAGATTTAAGGATGTGTCCCATTCAGCCGTGAATTTATCTGAGCCCTTTAAAATGTGTTCTTATTTGTCATCTGTTTTCCCTTTTAGGAGTATCCTGAGTTTGTTAGCTGCAACATATATGACATATAATAGATACCTGCTAAGTAGTCATTGAATGAATGAAAATTGTTATTCAGAAGAATAATTACTGTCAACATTCATTTTCTAAACCTAAGACCTACCAGTATTATTTGCGCCTATTGATCTTTTGGCTTTGAAATATTCTGAAAAAGCATAATTCATTCAGTAGTTTGCCATAAATATTGTTACTACCTCTTATTTGGGGCAATAAAAATGTCATATCAGGAATGGTGGCATGTATCTGTAGTTTCAGCTACTCAAGAGGCTGAGGTAAGAGGATTACTTATCCCAAAAATTTGAGACTGGACAGCAGAGTGAAGCCCTGCCTTAAAGCAAAAATGCTGTCAAATTGCTTCTATAGTTTAGTAAGGAGGCTGATCAGTAACTACCATAGATAATAATAATGTGGTCTGCTAAGCACTTCCTAGCTTTAATGATAGTGGTTATTTAGTATTATATGCCAGATACAATTTTAAGTACTTTTTATGCACTGTTAATTTCGAACAATTGCATTGTGGTCTGACAACTGTGTCTCTGTGACATTAATCTTTGCAATGTATCAGTACTTATTTTATTGCCCATTAAATTAATACATATAGTTGTGGGCAGCATTAGAATACAGTTTTCGGGGGCTGGAGATTTAGCTCAGCGGCATAAGCGCCTGCCTTGCAAGCAGGCAGTCGTGAGTTCGATCCCTGGTACCTAAAAAGACAAAAAAAAAAAAAAAAAAATACGGTTTTCATTGAATCAAGGAAATGTTTTGCATATGTATAGATGTTCATTAGTACTAGCTTTTGAAAGCATGTCTAAATTTTCTGCAAGATTTGTTTCCTGTTTGGCTTGTCAGTGATTGACAGAATGTTAAATTTTTTCAGTTCAATTGTCAATTTTTCATGTATCAATTTTGCTTTATTTTGAGGTTACTTTTTAAAATTATTATATTTTTCTAGTAAGTTGAGTTATTTACCATATGGAATACTACTTTTTATCTCCATGAATGCTTTTGCCTTAAAGATTGTTTGGCTGTTTTTTTGTTTTGTTTTGTTTTGTTTTATCGGTACTGAGGATCAAACTCACAACCACGTGCTTGCAAGGCAGGCGTTCATGTCACTGAGCTAAATCCCCAGCCCCATTTGTCTGTTTCTTAATATAAATACCTCAACTTATTTTGGTGTTTGCCTGCTATATCTTTCCAATCTGCATACTTTTTATATCTTAAGGCAGTGATAGATTGACTGATCGATTGATTGATTGATTGTTGGTAGCTGAAATTGAACTCAGGACCTTGTACTTGCCAGGCAAGTACTGTGCCACTGAACTATGTCCTTAGTCCAGAGATAGATCTTTTTAAACAACAGGTAAATTGTGGTTTTTGATTCAATGATATTCTTTGTTTTTTAATCCAGACTATTTGGCCCATTTGTGCTATTATATTTATGTTTATTTCTGCCATCATAGTTTGTTTTTTTCCAGTTGTTTTATTTTTCTTGATTTTGTTTGGTTTGTTTGTTTGTTTGTTTGTTTGGAACAGTGTCTTGCCATGTAGTTTGGACTGCCCTTGAACTCACTGTGGATCATAAGCCGGCCTCCGACACAAGGGTTCTCCCGCTTCAGCTTCCCAAGTGCTGAGATTACAGGCGTGTGCCACCACATCCAGTTTGATTATATCTTAATTTTATTTAGTACCCTAAGAAGTCATTACCTTTATTTATGTTAGTTAGTACATGGTTTAGCTGGATGTAATAATGCATTCCTGTAGTCGCAGCACTTCACTGCTTAATTCCAAGAATTAGAGACCAGTATAAGCAACATAAATTAGACACATTAAAAAAAAAACTTGGGAAATTTTATTTGGAAATACTGCTACCAAATTTCCCTCATAGAGTCACAGTTAAAGCTCTGAGAAGTCCTACAGTTTAAAAGATAAAATGAGGTAGAAAAATTTGCTTAATTTTGTTTACTCAGTTTTTCCCGAGTTAACAGCTATCAGTACCCTAAAGAACTAGTTATGTAACTAGTATTTGCAAAACAATTTGAGGAGCTGGTGGACCCAAATTTCTTTCTCTCTATAGGTTACATTTCCTGATATCATCAGGGACCGTGGTATTTGATACAAATTCTACATATTTTCTTTTTATGGAAATGAGATGTTTCTAAGTCTTAACCCTGTCTTACAAATGGAAACCATCTTGACTACCAGGTATATCTGAGAGAGTATTTTGCGGGCACTGTTTCTTTTTCATCTCTGTCCTCCACTGACTGTTCACTGTAGTGTGCTTGAGTTTGGTCTAATTTTCAGAGAATCAAAGGACTGGATAAAATCTTAGTATTCATCTGATTCTACCCCATTAAGATTCATAAATTGGCCATTTCAAGCCAATAACTGCTCTAGTGGGTATTTTTATTGCCTTCCTTTCATTTTTACTGTACTCACCTTCATCACGTCAGAAGCCACCAGTGATCACTTATATTCTTGGTTTTTTCCTTCAGTCATATATTTAATGAATTTCCTCTGAAACATTAAAAACCGTTGCTCTTTCTCCTCTGGACATCTGTAATATCGCACTTTCCTAATTCTCCTACTGCATGTTGATTTTCCATTATACCTTCTACATAAATATGTATCTTTCCAAAATATCTATCCTTAACTCCTTTTTCTCATTAATTACTCTCTTTACATTTATTCCTTTATTCATTTATTTATCCAATAAACATTAATCAATGTATGAATTAATCATAAGTGTTACATATAGTATAGTATAGGAACTCTGGCCTAACTCATAATTATTTCTTTAAATTGAGTCAGAAAATATGAGCTGTACAACAGTGATTTTTTTTTTTTTTTTTGCAGAGGTTTCTCTTATTTTTCTTGTTTCATTCTCTGGTGTCATATGTTCTATTTATTCTAAAACTGTTGTATAGAACAATGCATAAAATTTAATTGAGAATTCTTTTAACAAATCATATCAAATGTACCCATGCAAATGGCTACCAGCAGCTATGGCTTATAGAAGAAAATTGCTTTTATCTTTAGGGCAGTACTACACCTTCCCCATCCTTATGGCTCACCCGGTAGTAGTTTTGAAACAATCTGTAGTGTATTCTCATTTTGCCTTCTGACTGTTACTATTTTCCAGAGTTCTTGTCCCTAATACCAGGTCCCTTATTCAGCTGTAAACTTCCTACTCTTCTCTTGATCAGACTTTCTTCCCATCTTTACTCTCTCATACCCCAAAATTATTGCTGCAAACTCCAATATACTCATATCTCCCACTTCTGGAAGGGCATGAAAGCAGTTCGGTACAAAAGACAGTGTCCAGAGGGAAAATAATGACACTGATGAGTAGATAAATCTAGAGACCAGTCGTCACTGTGGCTAACTTCTAGGCTTCTTTTCTCTCATCTGGAAAGTAGAGAAATTGTACTAGACTAACTCTGTGCATTTAAAATCAGTTCATTCCAACTTGATAACCAATGAATGATAAATTTGTGTTTTAATGGAAATAGCTACATTATTTAAGGTTGAGGCTTTAATCATTGTACTTTACCTTCTAGGGAGGGTGTCAGTTGTAGATTTTGCTACCTTTGGACACTGTTCCAAGTACTGGCTTCCCAAAGGCTCATTTTATGTCCTACTAACAGAGGAAGGACTGGTTAATCTAAATACATAAACATCCATCTAGCATGATATCACTGAGTTTCATCTATGTTACAACATCTGTCAGAATGTCCTTCCTTTTTAAGATTGAATAATACTCCTGTATGTGTGCATGTGTATGTACCATATGCAGTAGGTGAGTGTTCATATGTGTGTACCAGTTTCCTTTCAGTTGTTTTCAGTTCTTTAGTCAGAAGTAAAAATTCTAAAACATAAATTAATTCCATTTTTTTTGTATATTCTGTTTGCTAATTCCATATAGTGCTCTGGTTGTTTGTTTACTTCTGTTTAAGGAACCACCATACTTTTTCTCACAGCAGCTGTACCACTTTGCATTCACGCCAAGATTTCCGTTGTGCTGTTCCTCAGCATTTCACCCAGTAGATTTAAGCATCAGTGATATTTCTCATCAATAACAAGGTATCTTTTTAGATAAAGACAAAATACCCTCCAATTAACTGTAAAATGCATCTCAATCTTCACAATGTTAAAATGTGAAGAAAAAAACTTAGTGAAATAAAGTAGGTAAATCTAAAGCCCCCTAAATTAAAAAAATATATACAAAAAAGGTAGCTATTCTATAATAATGCATGAAAATGATACTCTTCTCAAATGAATGTTTACTTCATTTCCAAAAGAATGTGCTGCAGGAACAGTTGCCCATACTCTCTCCCCAACCCCCAGATTTATCTAACTCTGCCTTTGTGGAAAAAAAGTTAAAAACCTCATAGTACAATAAACAGTTACCCAAGATTTTCATTTCTATACGTATGTGATTTCTGTTAAATGTCCTAATAATGTTCATTTGTCTTTGTTTCATTTAAGGATTGTTCAAGTTTGGAAGAATATAACATTGCTGCAGCATTACTCCCTTTGACCAGTGCTTTCTATAGGGTAAGTTTCATTGGTCTCTGTATAAGCTAGTTATGATTTATATGAATGTATTCATGGAACTATATTAATCTTGTCCTCTTAGTATAACTGAAATGTGTCTGTGGTTATATTTAATATAATATTTTATTGTGTAAGACATTTAATATACAATGCTAAAGCTGGGTGTGGTGGCTCATGCCTATAATCCAAGCATTTGGGAAGCTGAGGCAAGAGAATCCTTGGGAGTTCAAGACTAGCCTGGGCTACAAAGTGAGCCCAAGACCAAATGGCACTGCATAGCTAGACCTGTCTCAAAAAGACAAAAAAAAAAAAAAAAATATATATATATATATATATATATACACACACACACATACATACACACACACAATGCTAAATAATCTAATGCAGCACCCCCACTCATTCTACCCTAATTTATTTTCCTTATAATTATGTTATAAAGTAATTTATTTACATATTTAAGAAAGTAAATTTCTTGAGACTGTATTCCTTGCTGCTATATCCTAGAACCACACAATAAATATTTATTAAATTGAGTGAGTGACATCCATACAGATGGAGCAGAGTTTAACATCACTGGTGGTAGTTGTGTACCTTCTGAGAATTCTGTGGACTTTTCAAAGTGAGTTTTAAAATTCAGTCATTTATTACAGTGCTCCTCTCCATGTCTTTTCATAAATATATTAGTTCGATAATTCCAACAAATTCTCCTTATTGACACTGTATAAAGAATTAGATAACCCCACTATGAATAATGCATTTAATATATCCTTTTGAGATGTGCAATAGAAAATAATAATAGTAAATAAACCTGTAGCAACAGACTGATTCACTATTTAGCCACATGAACAGTCAGCTTCAGGAAGTAATAAGTTAGCAAGTTTGGTCAAATGCCTTGCTGCTCCTCTGCATTATCAAACTCAAAAATACCAATTTATGCTTAGGAGTAGGTTTATGTTTTTGAGTCTTTGTTTTTGTCTTTTTTTTTTTTTTTTTTTTTTTGGTTTATTTTGGTATGATTTGGGGGGACAGAGTGGAGGGAAAGGGGGTGTAAAAATAATTAAAACATGTTTTATGTGTGTACCAGTTCCCCACAGTGAATGTAGTCATTATATACTGCACACATGTGCTAATAAAAATAAAGTTTAAAAAAAAAAGAAGACCACTTGTTAGAATAATTATAAAACTGATGTCATTGCATTCATTAAAGAGAACCAGGACTGGCAGTAGGAAACTGCCTGCTAGGGTGCTGTTAAGGCTTCACTGAGAAGCCACCTACCAGGGTGGTATTTAAACTTCTAAGATACCAGTGACAATAGGAAACCAAGTGGAGTGCTGCCAAGATTTCATAGATAAAATAAGCATCTCTAGGTGTCCTGTACCACTACCAGGTATATGCCACAGGAACAAAAAGGTAAAAGCACACCAGAACCAGGAAGAGAAGCCAATTTGTACTGCAGTGTCCCTGAAGCAACTTTTACTGACAAAGTTTAATGTTATGCCTGCTGGCAAAAAGTGTTTATAAGGTCCAGTTCTTATATCACAAAGCAGAGCAAAGAGAACGATTTGGAAGACTCACTGCATTAATAACATACACAGGACTAGAGAAAATGGGTAATACTGAGTGTTAGATATTTTCTGAATTTATATTCCTTGTGCATACTGGATTTCTAGTTCAGGAAGAAGATACAATTTTCATTTTTCTGGCCACAAATTTCAGATGTCTACCTATGATTAAATCTTGGGAGTTGCTCAACATTACTTCAAAAACAAATACTTTATAATATTTTGAATAACTATCTTTTCAATGCAATTAAAATTTATTGATCATCTCAATCTAAAACACTATGATGCCCAGCAACATCATGGGTAACAACATTAATACCATATTCACATGGTTCTAGGGAAGTTAAATTAGTAATCTGTCTAGTACAAATGTTTTTTTAAAAAAATAAATGTGTCCACAGAGCTACCAACCATATGGGCATTTGGTTAAATAAAAATTGTGTATGATATATATGTTATAGAATGGTATAAAGTACAAAGTATAAATTCCCTTCCCCAACTCCACCCTATTTCCTCCAGATAGGAAGAGGAATTACACATTATTGCCATCCAGTAGAGATAAAACATACCTTTTTTTTCTTCTTTTAAGAAAAAGAATCAAGCGAGGCATGATGGCTCATGCCTGTAATACCAGCACTTCGAGAGGCAAAGATAGGAAGATCACATATTCAAGCCCAGCTGGGCAACCTAATGACCTGATGAGAACCTGTCACAAAATAATAAAAATGACTTTGGAGTATAGTTCAGTGGGAAGGCTCTGAGTTCATTATTCAATCCCCAGTACCATAGAAGGGAGGGAGAGAAAAATAAATTATGTCAGAAGTGATCTATAACAGATGTAATCTATGTACAATAAAAATACTTTAATTCCTGGTGAATTCAAGATGCTACAAAGACATTGTGACATGTGCCCATGAAAGAGGTAAGAACATGTATCTTAAAGGTCTGGCTAAATTTAGTGAAGAGTAAGGAAAGAATGAAAAGATACAAACAATACAGGCAGGGAAAACACTATGAAACTCTGGGAATTATTAACTGGAGATAGAAGCAGGAGGAAAAGGTAGTTTCTGGCCCAGTGAATCACCTCATGTGCCCTGTTAAAGAAGTCAAATATGTAAACAAACATTTTACTTCTTTCCATGATTTTTTATTTCTTTTGAGATCGGGTCTCACTGTGTAGTTCAGGCTGGCCTTGAGCTTACTAGCTCAGGCTGGCCTCAAACTCCTGTTGATCCTCCTACCCTCAGCCTCCCAAGGGCTGGGATGTTCCATGAGTTTTTTAAAAAATATTTTAATAAGCCAGTAGCACAGAGATGATTTGAAAGAACATTGCTTGCTTATAATTACAAAATTAAATTAAACCCCTTTTATGGGAAAAATTTATTTCAACAAAGTCTCTGGCTGACTTCTTAATGTAAAATTTTGTATTTGGCATTGTGGGGATCACATTTATGTATAAGACTTGGTTTCTGCTGTCCCTTAGTTAATTATCTAGTCTAATAGCAGATTTGAAAATGGGAAAAGAGGAAAACAAACTCAGTGTTGTACTAAGAAGTACACTGACCTTTTTGGTTTTTTTGATGGGTGTTTGTTTTGGAAGGAAAGGTTTAGTTAGCTCACAGTTTGTGGAGGTTTCAGTCCATAATCAGCTGGCTCCTGGGCAGGGTGGCATGGCACTGAGGCAACACTTCAAGGCAGCAACCATAGCAAAGATCAGCCAGAACAGAAGAGGGGAAATAACAAGCCTCTTTTCCCTACGCTGCTGCAACCAGGGCTGGTGCAACATTCACATCACCTCTGGGCCCTCTTCTTGCACAAGTTGAGGATATTTACAAAGTAAGGAACCTGGATCCCTGCTGAGTCCCTTAGTTCAATTTTTAAACTTGTCAAGTTAACAGAAATTGTTTTGTCTTTTTGAGACAGGGTTTCACTGTGCAGTTCAGGCTGGGCTTGAACTTACTTTATAACTCAGGCTGTCCTAAACTCACAGGGATCCTCCTGCTTCAGCCTCTTGAGTGCTGGGATTATGTGCATGTGCTACACAACTAGCTACCTATATTTTTAAAGGGGAGTAGCTAGTAAGACTTTACCCTTGTAACATCTATGTCGCTACTATGGATATGATAAACTCTGAGGAACAAACTAGCTGCCTCTTCTAATCACTTGCCAACAGATCATGTGTTGAGTGCCTACTATGTATGAGACTGCAAGAGTGGAGATGATAATTATGGTAGTGATAGTAAATGCATAGTGAGTACTTCCTATGTGCCAGATACATAAAGCCTTTGTGTCCAAATGCATAAACTTCACAATCTGTATGTTATTGTGTAATCTGCATATTATTGTCTCTTTTTTATATTTGAGGAAACAGAGTCGATAAATTTAAGTAACTTGCCAAGGTACACAACTAGTAAATAGGAGAAGACAGGATTCAAGCCTGACAGTACAACATACTTCAATGGATGTTCTAGAATATTCCTCTCCCCAGTGACAACCACTAGCTAGTAATAAAAGTCCAAATATATAAGCTAGAATATAAAGTATTTTATCAAATGCATAACTAAACATAGGAAAATAAGAGAACCCTGCACTGGTGGGAAAAAAGTAAAAGTCTGACTCTTAAGGTAGTGTCCTGGGGCTGGCTGAAGTTGCAGACAGCAGTCTACAAAAGGAAAAGCCTTCAGCAGTGGTAGGGAGACTAAAATTTGTAAATATACCTATAAATGCAAATTAAAGAAACAATCTCTAAATCACAGTAATTTCTTGCCTTTGACTTTGTTTATCCTCTGAAATGTATCATTCTCATTTTATTAATCTCTTTCATTAATTATTAAGCAGTGTTGACACCAAATATAGTCTAGCAGATGAGGACACATCAATGAGAAAACAAGGATTTCTTAGGTTCATGGAACTCACATTCTGTGATGAGAGAAATCATTGCAATAAGTAAGGCAACATGTGTCTTCTGCACATCACTTAATCACATTTTTACCCTCTTACCAGTCTCCCTGCCTTTTTCTTTGCCCCCTTTCATTCTGTTATCAACACAGCTGCCAAAGTTAGACTTACAAAACAAAAGTCAACACTTGTTATTCCTTTGCTCAAAATCCTCTACTTGTTTCTCATCCTATTCAGAACCTCTTCTCTAAACTAGCCATGGTTTTGTCCTGCAGGTAGCTCATTTCCCTACATAAATATCCCTTTCTCAGTGAGGCCTATTTAGATGAGCCCATGAAAAAATGTTGCCAGCACTCTTACCTCCAACTTCCCTCCTGGCTTCTGGGGTGTGTGTGTGTGTGTGTGTGTGTGTGTGTGTGTGCGCACACACGTGTATTTGTACACACATGTACAAGTCACATCTTTCACCTTATTTCTGTTTATTTTATTTGTCTTGCTAATAGCAGTTAGTCTAAGGAGTAAACATTAGAGTCAAC